AGCCGGGAGAAAGGATGATTCTCATAGTGCTAAGGAGGGTAGCCAGGAGAAAGGATGATTCTCAGGGAGCTAAGGAAGATAGCCGGGAGAAAGGATGATTCTCAGGGAGCTAAGGAAGATAGCCGGGAGAAAGGAGTATTCTCATATGGCCAAAGGGGGGAGTTAACACTAGCGTACGCGGAAGACATAAAAGGCAGGATACGATACAGTAGTTTAGCTTCCCAAGGAAAAATAATTAATTCCTATTGAGTCAACGACTTTCGAGTACTTCCGAATTCCTTGGACCTTTTACACTGGGACTGACATTTTTGAGGGGTTATGAACTTTGGAACGTTTGTAGGCGCCAAGACCGAGGCTTCAGCAGATTAGTCAGGACTTCTTTTGTCGATGAGTCAATGGCACTCCCCAGCGCCCTGGACGGCACAAAAGAAGTTGGGCTAAACTGCCATACAGCAATCACGCTCTGTCAAGACTTTTCAGACATTTCAGCACGGCCTTCGGGAAGGAGGCTAGAAAGACAGAGGGTGAATTTCCCGATGTATGCACAAGTCTGCAGTGCTCAGCTGGCCGGCCTCTTCGAACGCTTCAGAAGGATCACTATGTCTTCGGATTTAGTCCTAATTTCGGTATTAGGAGAGCCCCGCACCCAGTTATTTTGGCGATTTTTCCCAGCTGCCATATACCCGCAAATGGCCATCGTCGAGTTGGCTGGAGAAGTGAGGTAGCGAAGGGAAAAAGGCTCCTCTAAGTGTATGATCGAAGGAAGACTTGTGAGGGGCCGTACTTTTCGAGGACAGCGGTATATGAGGCAAAGAAGGGGATATCCTACTTGTATGTATATCCTCATCCTGTTGTCAGGGAAGACCTGCATGTCGTAAATAGATTTAGACTGAGAAAGGATAATAATATGCATAAAGAGCTATGCACAAGATTTTGTTTGGAGCATGAAAGAAATGCTGGGCCTGTAAGCCGAGAACACTGTATCTCCACTTCCGACAAGAATATTAGAATACAGCGCTCGGGACTACCAAGGCACACATGAGAGGCTATATCGCGGGCGCCGGGAGCTTACTGGGGTCTTTCTACGCCAAGATGGCGCGGCAATCGGGTTTACAACGGCCCGGCTGGAGGTTACATCTATATTTACAGCGTACGCCATTCCCCAACGGGTGATGAATGGAAAATAAATTGTTCTTTGAAGCCCCTCTCTTTCTAGGAATATCGCGACCATATAATGGCGCCGTGCTGCCAACGCTTCTCGCAATGCCATTCATGGCGTGCGCAGCCATGCAGCCACCACCAGCAACGGCTTTGCCATTTGGCACTCTGGACATGCCCTCGGAGTAGGCAGGAGGCGCGTGTCTCCTGCACGCAGCCGTCAGCCCTTGTGCGTGAGCAGCGGCCCGGGAGAAGGCCTGGCCCATCCGTCACGACGCCCGTGAGCGTTGCGAGGCGTGACGCGTCGCCCGGATTCAAGCTCGCCATTTCCGTCCCAAATAGGCCGGGTGTCGAAGCTATCCATTCCCTACTTCAGAAACCAGGTCGGGCCATGCGCCGCTACACTACGCCGCTGTGGCGGTGTTACAGTGCTGTCTGAACTCCCGCTGGCCATGTTATGGTGAGATATTCGTGAATAAATTTTGTTGAAGTATCAGTCACTGAGCCTTAGAAGACATGTGACTTAATTTGTAAGCTGGGCTAAACTAGGGTCTATAGAATGTATAGTAAATGTAGAACTCAATAGTCAGTACAATAATATACGCAATAAGCTTTAGGCATTTACCAGCAGTACAGTTTTCTAACCATATCTTCCTTCAATGAATTTTGGCAAGTTCCAATAAATAGGCCCCGGCAGTCCTGAGATAGTCACAGCTAGATGATCCAAATTAATGCGCCAGCTTGGAGCGAGCTTATTGCGCCCGGGGTTGGAGTTGGGACTAGATTTTGCCTTAGCTGGACATGAATCATAGCATGGCCTTTGGTCATACTTGAAGATGCCGGAGCTCCGCCCGGTCGCTCTCCAGCATCTCAATCTTGTAACTCTAGTCACGTTCTTTGTCTTGTATGCCATCTTAATTCATAAGACCACTCTGCGTGCTTTGCATCTTCATGGCCCGACTCCTCTCTTTAACCGCCTCGCATCACGCCAATCTAAGAATCTCCAAGTGTCCCTCGTTAGTGTTTCAAGTCATAGTATTACTACGATACTTTTGGCAGACGGCAATCTTTAATATCACTAGCAGACGCCGTAACGAGCGAAGTCGTATGGTGCGCAATGCTCTATCTGAAAAACTCCTAGCCAGAAACCGACATTGAACCCCTCCAAGATTGTGTCCACTCCCACCATCATCTTGCCTTTCTGTGCTGATGCCTCTCATATCTAAACCGAACATCAGCCTCCCAGATTTAGTGCGCCACGATTCGTTTCCACCTTCGGGTTTTCATATCGGTGTGGGCGTCTGTTTAGAGGCCAGATGAGGCTAGAAGATGAACTGACGAAAAGCGTGTCCATTGAAACTAGCATGTAGTAGATTATAGTTGCTGACTTGGTGAAACTTTAGTAGTGATCAAACTCACTGGGGATGAAATTCTGATGTGGCCGGGAGCCTTGAATCACTGTCTCGTGGATCTTCTTCGGTATTATGAGATTTGACTGAATTTGGCTCTGGGACAGTATTTCACTCCTAGCTTTGTAAGGATCACGGCGGATAGATGTTCAGTATTAGCGTTCCTATACTATGAATAGTGCTCCCACAAACGATGTGGCGTATATCACGTTTGTAAATATGTTCATTGACGTACTAGGCAATTGGCACTCTCCGCACTCATATGGGAGCTTGAGCGCGAGTGGGGCCTGGCTATATCAGTTTAACTACTAAATAAACAAGTCTCGTCACATCTAAACGACTATATCATCTCGAACTCACCAATCTACTAAACATGTGAAGTATGACGCTCCAGAGAACCTAACTTTCACGCACTAAAGTGCAAATATCTATAAAACCCAGCCACCACCCGCCCGAGGCTTTGATACCATCACTTCTTTGAATTCCTCTTTTTGATCCTGACACAGCACCTCCTGATCTCATCTGGTGTCAAAATTTTCATCTTCCATTGGAGTATTTCCTCGTCTCAGCTATAATTATATCCATATTTAAACCTTGAAATATGTCTAGCACCCGGTCTTGTCCCGTCGCTACCGTGTCCACAACCTTGGAGACTAAACATGGGAGAAAGAGCTCAAAGTAGATGCCCTGGTCTTTGTCTGAAGCTCTGGTTGATTTTTCGGCAGAATCTAGTACCCAGTACTTTGATGGTAATTCGTCGCTGGTCGAGGTTTAAACACAATGAAGGTATGTATATGACTTTACCTTCGTGATGAGTGATGTTTGCGGTGGTTGCAAAGTTTCCTTGCGTCTTTATAACAATCGTGACCCTTGAATTTATTCTTCAGCTCCGGTAGGTCGCGAGATGTTAGCTGGGGGAGATCCTTTAAAAAGATCGGGAAGCTAGGGAATGTCGTGTTTTCGAATAGAAACATTAGATAGGTTCAAGCCTATCGACAGTCGCGTAGGAATAGCAGTCGATGAATTCGAGGTTGTAAAATCTCTGTAGGTCGAATCTTCGACCAAAGACTTGCCAACGCCATTCCAACTAATCTTCATCTCCACTATGACTCCCAATTACATCATCTGCCGTGACAACATCTCAGGCCGAGGGAAATCTTTTACCGCCAGCGTGATAGAGGACACCACCGACCGGTATTGAGTCTTCGTCTTCAAGGCACGCACATTTCACTTCGGCCGTGTGAGTTCTTCCTACAATCGAGTCTCCACCTTTGCGATGCTGCGTTCATCTTTTTTGATACATCTCTCATCCATCTCAAAGATGTTTCTCACCAGACTTGGGCACCGCAATTGGCGCCCCCCTGCTAGTATTCCTAATATCTTGGACCTTTAATTGGAGCTTGCGGGAAAAGAAATATGCCCAAATTCATACACTAAGTCTAGGTGAGGTTTTGGTGTGAGCTGGCCTTGTCGGAGGCGAATGATTGACGGGGTCGTAAAGCTTGAATTATTACCTCGCTGGGTATATTCTTTAGCAGTATTAATTACAACTGTAGCTTGTTTTCGGGCGAATGACTTGCCTCGGCATCCACGGGGGACACTGCGAATATATGTTCAGTGTTTGTCCTCTTGACGCTGATGCAAAGCTGACGTGTTTCGAGGGTTTTCACGCTGCTCCTGTTGTAGCATAGAATTTAATTGAAGTCCCTACTAAGTCTATAACTATGAAGGACGATGCTCCTGTAGTAGCCACGAAGGATAAAGAGAAAAATTAAACCCCTGACTCTACTTCTAATATTAATTGTAGCCACAACGATGGCAAGGATGTACTCAACCATATTTACTTCATGTATTACCATTTGTAGCCCTTATCAGTATCGTAGATTCTTCACATATCGGTTATTTTCCCCCCTTTTCGATGGTTCACACTAGACCCAAATAAGATATCTCATTCAAAGCTTATGAAGGGTGATACTAGAGAGTTTTCAATTTCTACCCGCAAAAATCTATAGTAGTATTTGGGAATAACATCTTTTACAGATGTGCCTCGATGATCAGAAAGAAGCTACAACTATGATCCTGTGGTTGTGGTTGTGGTGATGAGCCATAGCTGATGCTAAACGTACCTTACAGGGAAGATTTTGAAATTAACCGCCCCCATAGACTCTTGTAGAATTTTAGATGGCCTAGATAAGATGTGCAAAAGATTAGCCGCAAGAGAGAAAACCTTTCTTTTAAGAGATTAAAGATAACTCAATCCCACGCCAATTCCAAATTCTATGCTTTTACTATTTTTGTATACAAGCCGCTGAAACACTTTGGATCCACTTCTCTGTAGCAGGAAAGAATTTGGGATCTAATAATTATTAACATATCATCTCTAGTTCCATAATCTACATGGTGATAATAAGGGAGTTCCATTATCCGTGGAGTTCAGGACCCAACCTCCCCCACTCGTGGAGCCCCCCCAAGCCAATCTGTACGCTCATAGTAGCGAAAGACAAGATCGTACCCATCAAATTCATGAACAATCCTGTCTATACGTCGGTATCCTTCAACCATATCTATTTTCGACCGGCGACCGTTGACATTAGTGCTAGGTCCCATGACGGCGAAGAGTTGGCTTCTATCACGTGATTCTTCGCCAGACTCGTTTCTGGCTTCGAATAGCGTGACGCTAAAACGTCCGGGCTTGAAGATTCGAACGACCTCCTCGACCACAGCAATCATTCCCCGGTCGGTCCGAGGCGCTGGAACGTTTGTCTCAAATGAAGCATAAGAACATTGTGGTTCAGGAGTGACATGGACAGAAAAGTAGTGGGTGGCAGTGCCTTCAGGAGCAGGTATCACCCCATTGGCGGAAAATCCACATGGAGAAAAAAGGTATGCATCAACGCGTGCATTTGGATACTTTGAAGATGGATAGACGTCTGATAGACCACAGTCTTCCGAAACTTTTGTGCCAAGGGTGTGACCTTGTACATCTTCGATTGATGGAGTTTCATTGGTCGCTAGTGGACAGTTGTGCTGCAAAGCTGTTTGAGTTGATTGATCTTTCAAAGTATCAGTTGAAAGTTGCTGGTCCACGAGAGGATCAACTTGAGATGACTTTTCATCTGCGAGGGAAGTTTTTATTTGCTCCGCCACTTCTTTCAATGACTCATTTTTTGAGCTTCTGGAGTCCATTGATGCAGTTGCATGATTGACATAAAATTTCTGAGCATTCTCTTCATCGAGATCTGTCATCAATATTTCCAGAGTTTCATCGTCATTGCAACCCTGTATTTCGGATTGAGTTGGATTGAAGGGGATCTCCAGAATTCTCGTCGTCGAAGGTTCGAGCTTTTCGCTTTCTGGTGTCCTGGGTGGCGTGAGGGTAGAGTTTGGAGTCGTTAAGTACAAATACCAATGATCGCCATTCATCTTCCCAACCATGTAAGCGCTTCCGCTCGAAAACATACTGTCAAGAAATTCGACTTCCTTATTCCAGCTGCGGTGAGGACCGCGCTGTTTGTCAGGGAATAAGAAGTTCTTGCGGCTGTAGAAGACACGATAAGGGTTTGCTACTGGACTGCCTGAGCTGAGGTAACCATCGCAGCAAGGAAATCCAGCGTTGACTGTGGCAACCTTGAGCATACATGAAAGGCCTAGTAATAGAGTTGTTGTTCCGCAAGTCTTTAGGATCAGTTTGTGCGGAAAGATAAACATGCTGGATTCCGAGAGTAGATACGCATCAATATTTTCAGAGCGAACGACCGATAGAATCTTACAATTGACCAGGTCTAGCATCTCAATCCAAGTTTCCACGCTGACTGCCTTGAGCCCGCTAGGACTTGTTCCGGGCGGAAGGGCATCAGGAGCAGGAGCAAACCATACCTCTAGCAGCTTTTCAGGTCCTGTTTAATGAATCAGTATTAGAGGTTTAATTGTTGACTTTAACAGACCCTCAAATGCATTGGTACTGTCGAGTTCTACTGTGGCCTCATGATTGATGGTCACATGTGGCACACTTTCCCTGGAAAAGGGCTCAGAATTCGTAAGGATTGAGTCAACCATACTGACTAGGATACGACCAAAAGAATTTGTATCGCAGTCACTGATGTGAAGATGTGACTTCGAGCCTATTTTAGAGCACTCTCTTCCTGTAGACGGACCTTGCGGTACTCGTCGCAGGAGAGGTAGCCTTTAAAGTTAAAGACGATGACCAGGTGCTGGAAAAACTACCAAGACAATTTTTTTGAAGAGATGAGAGAATTTATCCAAAGTAGGATTTAGAGAGGTGGAGGTTCTACTGTATGAGTGATGGTGGATAATTATTTGCGAACGAAGATGAATGAATCCTCAATTTATTACAGGTAATGAATGGTTAGCTTTTTAGAGCGGGCCAGGTGCTATCGAGGCCTATAGGTAGGGGTTAGTGTCGAGTATTCAACCTTTGAAGTATGGAACGTGAGTAGAAAGACATTGTCGACAAGATTTTCCCGGGGCTGAAAGTATTATATTGGGAGACTCACTTTGCGGGCTTGGATAGGAATCGTAGAAGGTCTTTGCTGCTCATAGAGGATGCTCTGATGGGATGGGAGAGAGAAATACGGCTGTCCTTTGTCCAGCGTCTCTAAACAGGTGTATGTGGGATCCCGACTGATTTATTTATTCGGTGAGGAATTCATCAGTCAGGCTGAAAAGGGGGTGGAGAAGTGAAGGTCTGCGGAGAGGATTTAGGGCCGTCAGTGTTGAGCAGACAGCTGCATTGTTCCTAGAGATTGGCTGTAATTTCATTTAGTAAAAGGATAAGCACACATGAAGAATGGAATGGTTGATGTAAGGGAAAAGAATTGCGGACCAGGATAAATGGAATTTAGTGGGCGCATGGCAACCGGGATTTCCTTTGTCCAACGGGCGGAATCTGAGGGACTTGAAAAATTCCTTGGGTGGGGCGGAACGCGATGCATGCAATCTGCAGACGAGGAAGCTAGCTTGAGCACTGAATCCCCTTCAGGCTCACTGTGCTGATTGCCAGAGCCGATGGGTACGAACAGGTGTCTACGCCTGAGCTGGCTATCTAACTCGGCTGGGTAGAGGCGTAGACATGGTCGATGGTTTGGGGACAGGGAAGCGGAGGGTAGGGTTGCCACGTCCCCGGAAGACCATTAGCGGAATAGCACTCTAGGACTATTCAGCCTGACTCCAAGTAGACTATTTGTCACGCTTGCTGCAACCCAACGGGTGTTGGGCCACGGCGATGGAACTATATCCACATGATAAAGCTAGCCTAGCATGGAATAGCCAGGGTAGTTTGATGAACCGTCTAGGGCACTGGAAATTCATGTGGTGGGTATGGACTCGAGGAGAAATAGCTGATATACCGATCGTTGAGCTCAGCAAAGAGTATCACCAAGATGTGGGGGGACGGAATGGCTTTGACCGGCGGGATCCCGGGAAAATTTCTACAAGCTGATGGAAGACGCTGGCAGGTGGCAGTCCGGTCACGATTTATTGCAGCAGAGGAAAAATAATGCCTTAATTGAGTACAAGCAAGTGCCGCGCTGTGGCTCGTCGTCCATTTCCGGAGCCGGCGCGGGGGGTTGTTTCTTTGCACTATGCGCCAGCCCACCGTCTTCAAGAGGACCACACGCGATATGTCATGTCACGCCAAGAGGAAACCGGACCGACCTTTGGCGTCGGTAGGAAGTGGCGAGAATTCCGCACGTCTGCAGCAGACGAGGCTGGTTCACAGTGACAGTTGACCCATTACCCTGCCCCTATTTAGCCGTCGATTCTTGGCCTCAGGCATAGAGTCAATGCTGCGGACTCCTGGCACCTCCACCCCCGCCAAGCCACGTGTAGCGAGACTAATATGAGGCCGCCTACAAAGCAGCTCTGGGCAAGTAGCAATGTCCTCCTTTCACCCCCGGCTCCTTCCACAAGGCTGAAGAAGTTTCCGCAACATCTACTCTGACAGTCGCAAGCCGCAGCGTTGGCACCACTGGTTCCATTGACTGTAGGAACAGAATCGGAGGATCTGACCACTGCCACGTCAATGTGCATGGTCTATCTGGCCGACACAGCTGCGGGCCGCCCAGACAGCCTGCCATGCTGACACCTGCTGCTGGACCTCTAGCGGGCTCTGCCTCGCACCGACTCCTCGCACCCTGGTCCCTGCGAGATATCTAATGGATCCACCTTGCTAGGTGCCAGCTCCATTGTCTGATTCCCATGGAACCTGCTCGTATCGGTCTGGGTACATTCTCAATCGACGCGTGGCTACACATGGAGCTTACTTGTCGACGAGCTTTGCTGGACCACTTGCAGATGGAGGTACCGATTTTGGTGTAAATGCATGTTTCTCACGGGGGTTAATATCAAGCCGCCCAAATATCCTAGTCTCTCTGCCCCAAAGACCGTGCCCCGCATATCTTGCGAGTCACCCCTGCATGTCGAGGAGCACTGGCCGTAAATTAAACGCAAGCACTTGAGCCGACTGGATGCAGCGGGATCAATTACTCCGGCGTGACACTGTCTTCGTGGTTGCCCAGACCATCCTCGATGCATTCCAGAATGGGGATGTCAGTAGCGCACCAAACTTATGTTCTGTTAATGTCCCTTACCCGAGCACCGGTCCCACTTCCCGAGTCGTGAGAGGTCACAACATCAACTGCCGTTGTGACTGGCATTCAATACATATGTTGCTACCGTCTTAGGCAACCCACGTCATATATGCCAGCATCTCCCAATTTTCTCGCACCACTTTTCTAGATTGAATCATGGGGAAAATTCTCAACACCTGTCAGTAGTGTCCCCCACGAACCTCCAAAACCCCTTGGTTATCTAGTTGGTTTATGGCGTGTGGCTGTAACTGACAACACTACCAGAATGCCGCGCGTTCGAATCGCTCATGAGGAAGTAATGCCCAAGACGGCAAAGACTGAATACCTGGGAGTGAAATATTCTCCCATAGCCAAGTTCAATCAACTTTCGCAATATCAGAGGAGTTGGCCCACGAGGCAATGATTCTAAATACTCCGCCATGTTAAATTTTCACTCCCAACGAGATCGACTTCTATCTAGGTCCAATTAAGTCTACAAATACGACACGGTACATCCTCATTCCAATGACCATACCTTTCGTCGACAAGTCTCTGGCCTTAGCTGGTTACTAAATACACGCCCACGCCTACATTCATACCCACAGGAGGAAGCAAAGCGTGGCGCACAAATCTTGGAGATAGTTCTTTGAGATGAACTTGAGAGATATAAGGAAAAGTTCACAAAATGGTGCAATGGATCGATACGGTCTCGATGGGCGTAAAATCTCGAATTTTGGCAAGGACTTTACAAATTGAGCTTTGTGCGCGCCAAGAGTTTGCTTGCAAGAGTCCAGCTGACACTATAAAAACAAGCAAACGATGGAAGGTACCGCGGTTCGCCTCTTGGTGGCGTTCTCCGGTATAGTTTGAGTAGCCTGGGCACCTACTCCACTTGGTAAGGAGACACCTAAGACCATATTTCGTGCGGAGAAAAGTTAATGGATTATGGAGGCATTTCTAGACAACTCATGGTCTTTGAGATGTTTTCCTCGGTGAGTATCCACGGATGAGGGCTGAATAAGGGTGAAGAAAAAGCCGCCATAACTTCGCAGTGATGCTTGCAAATAAAATCCGACGCATGAATGTTGTTGTTATGAGCTATGCGGAGGTCATACCGCGGAGTGATGAGAAGTGAATGATGTTGTATTCTATGGGTGATAGTGAATAGACTCATAAAATACTATGCTGTAGGTATTTGGACTGAAATTACAAGACTAAACCTGCATCCCTTTATCGTGGGCAGATCGATGAAACTATAGACACACTCGCCTAAATAGTACTAGTGACATATGCTACGGCCCTGAGCCACACGCAGTACTCTAGCCTAGAATACGTCATTGTCTCATATCAGATCAATGATTGCTCTTCCTTTAGTTTGAATCATCTACTATATAATTTTTCTCTGATACTGTGTCATAGTAATATAGCTGCATACGCAACTAAAATCTAATGCAAAAAAAATTAAATTCAGATTCGTGTGGATACTTGTTCTCAAAATCACTTCTTTCAAAATTGCACGGTTGTTAAGCATATCTACTTGGTGTGCACTAAGTGCGTTGCTGAGTCATTAACTTGATGACTCAGCTAGCATACCGAAATCCACGTTCACAATATGCTTATGGGGGCTGGATGGTGCAGTGGTACACCATCCGGGCCGTTCTCTCAAGTAGATACTGGGTAGCTTGAACACCTACCCCATTCGAGACAGGAGAAAGCTAGTTCGAATCCAGTCAGACCTATACACCACTCTCTCTCTGGCGGTGATATTGTACTTGTGGGATGATGAAAGCACACTCGGATAGTCACAGGTTTTTCACGCTTTTCCCTGCGGTGGGTATCCACGGAAGTGGTTTTACGCCGTAAGGGTTAATCTCGAGTGGTATCTGTAAGTGAAATCTGAGTGTGAGTGTTCTAAATGTCAAATTGAGTCATCCTACTTAAGTACATATCTTCCGATAAAAATCTGCATGGGCCTCAAGGCGCCAAATCAGAAACATGATTAGTTAATTTATTGCGTGACCTTTCCGAGTTTCATTCAATGATCCCAAACATTAGACACATGTTTTATTATTATTAATGGATTCTGATGATGTGATAATGTTTGGATCCATAGTAGCCAAACGTATGTAGATACCTTAGGCATCAAGGTTAAGCGTGGCGTGCACGGGCACCTACGTGAATACTGATATGGATCCTCATCATGTAGATGGAATAGAGACAACCACTACACAACCATTTTACGCCAGTATTCAAGCATATGCTAGAAACCGTAGCCATCGAGTGCTACCAACAGATACATTTATTTTTATGTCTCTTCTATATAAATCTTCTTAGACCAGGAGGGAAAGGTAATACAAAAGTGAATATGGGTATTTATGTCATGAGGAATGGGGGACTATTATCAACACCTGTCAGTGGTGCCCCCTACGAACCTCCAGCTCTCACCGCAAAGTCTACAGAGCCGAGATT